TAAATATTATAATACAATTTTACATTATCTGTTAATTTCTTTCCAATGTGCCACATGCAAAGACGATGAGTTGATTCATTAAAAACGGTTTCTACAGCTTTAGCCATAGCTGAATCTTGATTAATGACCACAACATTAGGTTGTCTACCAAAGCAATTAAGAAAGCATTTGAGAAGTAGGGATGTCAAAAAGTCCCGTGGGATCCCGTTCCCGTGGGGCCCCCGTCCCGTTTGGGGGATTTTTTTTTTAAAAAAAATGGGGAGCGGGGGCGAGGGTGGGGGCAAGGTTAACCCCCGTTTTATTTTCAGGGGCGGGGGCAGGGGTAGGCAATCCCGTCCCGAAACCCCCATGGGGATCCCGTTAATAAATTACACATATATTTACATATATTAATTATATAAATATAATAAACAATTACATGATTTTAAACTTCCAAAATTCATCAAAAACATGTTTTTAAGTTGTTAGTATAATGTTTTAAAATGCTATAACTTTTTTATTTTTAACATGTAAAATTCTGCTATAAATAATTATTTGTTACCTAAAACATAACTTCTTTTAGCCTAAATAACAACTTCTTTCATCCTAAAAAAAGGTAGCCCAAAATCAATCGGGGGCGGGGGAACGGGGACGGGGGTAATAAAGGGGATTCGGGGGTAGAAAGGCTAAACATTCCGGGGGTGGGGGCGGGGGCGGGGGTGGGGGATGCACTCCCCGTCCCGTTTGCCCCCGTTGACATCCCTATTGAGAAGCCATGTATAAAATTATGTTGTTTCTTTAGCTAGCAAACCAACACCAATGGAGACACATCTTTTATGGTTATCAATTGCAGTCAATGGAACAAATATCACATTATATCTGAAAATCATTAAAATATTTAACATAAATACTAAATGCAAATATTTTAATATATAAATATTAAAGAAACTAAGTATTATTTACTTGTTTGTTTTGTATGTAGCATCGAATGATACCATATCATAGAATTCTTTGTAGTTTCTTTTTGCTATTGCATCTGCCCAAAACAGTGCCCTTAGCTTATTATCCTCAAACAAGTAATGAAAAGTGAAAGAAGGCACATTTTTACGTCGTAGTGTTAAAAGATTTATCAACATATTTGCATCACTATCTCCTATATAGCAATTTAAGTCTCTTGAAAAAAATTTGTAGTCAATTTCTTTGCACCTTGTTTACTGTAACCACCCTTTAAACCAGTAACCATGCTACGTGCTTTGCTTGCTCCTATATTTGATGTGGTTAACTGAGTTATAATTGTCTTGTCATAATGATCCAACTTTCTTTTTGACTTTGACATGTGCACTGTACTGTTTGTGTAGAGCTCATGATTGTGTTTTTCAACAAATGTATTAATGAAAAATTGATCAATATTTTTTATAAATTTGAAACATATCTTTGCTTCGCAAGACATCATTTGGCTTGGATGTTTTCTTTTTTGTCTGCCTTCTACTCCATTTAAAGTGTCAACATTTTTCTTATCTGGTTCACCGACCCTACTACATATCACATACTTGTATTGTAAAATACCATCAATCATTTTACTTGATGCAAGCCTGCAATCAAATCCTGCTTTCTTTGCATATATTTGGTAAAACTGAATTCCATGATCTAATGTTTCAAACACCATATCTTTCTTTGGCAGGAATGATTCATCAACTCTTGGGACTCAGTCAATTGTTTTTGTGCGACAAGGAGATTTTACTTCTATGCAGCTTAATTCATATTCATCTTCTGATTCAAAATGTTTTGCTGCAAATTAAATAATATTAAATCAAATCATATATAGGAAAACATGTCATTTAAAATCAAAGTAATATTTTAGTTACAATCAAGATTAATATTAATAGAAACTTACCTTCATTATCATTTAACTGGGATGTTGAAGAAATTTGCTCATCCTCTTCAATAATATCTTTGAAAAATGCATCTTCAATATGTATATCATCATTGTTTATGTTAAATTCACTAGATTCTTCATCAACATCACCTATTAAAATCATATGTTTATTTATCATCAGTGTATGTAATTAAAATGAAAATTATGTTTGAATACAATTTGATTTACATAGAAACATATATTATTCATATGTGATTGACATATGAAACAAATATAATTCACATGTAAATCATGAGTAAATCCATGTAATTCACATATAAATTACATGTGATTCACATGTAAATAACAAGTATATTACATGTGAATTCATATGTGAATTACATGTAATTCACATATGATTCACATATAAATCACAAATGTATTGCATATGAAAAAATGTAATTCACATGTAAATCATGAGTAAATCACATATACTACATCTTTGTCAAGAACAGGTTCCTAGAAATTGAAAGTGCAGCTTGGCCTGATATTGAGACAACTGCTATCTCTTCTAATGTCAGGCGTAATGTTGGATCAGTATGTAACTCCATACTTTCATGCTTGAATCAAATTAGTTGACATGATTACAATATTATACTTGGTTTATTCCATATGAACTCTTCTATATACTTCATAATCAACAATATTAATTGATAATTTTTCAGTTTTTACGAGTACTTGCGAAAGAAAATGATGGAAGTGCTTCTAAGGAAGTGTCAGAACAAGAACTTGCATTATCCGAAGCTGTAGATGCAATGGTATCAAATATAGAAACATCTCAAGAACATTTTGAGCATAAAAAAGAAAAGCATCGCTTATATGCACATTAATGGCGTGAAAAATTCTCAGTTAATGAATCAATGGCTGAAACAAATGAGCACCTTCATATATGAATCAAATGTAATTCAGGTATAAATCACATGATTTTTTAATGAATCAACTATGAATAACATACGACTTATATATGATTCATATATGAATATGTGATTCATATATTATTCATATGTGATTTTAATATGAATATCAATTAAGTAAATTTTAATACCATACATTTATTATTAAAAAAATTATGAATCATTACCTACTAAAAAATTTATGTCGCTTTGCAGATTTTCAATTATTCTTCCTGAATCCATTAAATTGTTGAAAAAAAAATCTCAATTTACATTCAATAAAACAACGTATTAGAAATCCGAATGCTATTGTATTTAAATATCCAAATAAAAAGTAATGAATGAATGAATTGTATGAATTTACATTCGGTAATATGTTTTTCCTTCATTGATATAATCGTAATGAATGAATCGTATGAATTTAAGATAATATCATAACCTCGAAAGAAATCAATGACGAATCGTATGAATTTTTCTTTGGAATCGATCTCGAATTTGCATTAACAGCGACAACTATTCGATCGATGTAGATTTTATATGATTTCGTCATTGATTTCGATAATTTTGAAGGTTAGAAGTTGATATTTTGGAAAGAAAATTATACAGATGTTGTAGTTACGTAATTAAAGTAATAAAAAACGTAAAAGACAATCTTACCCTTATGATCTTAAATTCAATCCAACGGTCCATGTTTAGTTCTCGGGAAACTATAAGTTCTCAACCGATCTCAATCTATATATATATATATATATATATATATATATATATATATATATATATATATATATATATATATATATATATATATATATATATATATATATATATATATAGTATTTACCACTTTTTCAAATAATATGTGACATATAGTTATGTATATAATATAAATTAATAATTTATTATTTATTTGTCTGTTTGCTTTTGATGGACCAGTTTTTTGATAAAAACCGCACCGTACCGATAACTTCGTTTTTTTTTTTTTAAATTAAATCCGCACCGTCGGTTTTTGCATTGGTTTCGGTTGGTTGGTTACGCTTTCTTTCGGTGTTGATAGTTTTTTATTCAGTGGTTCGGTTTTTGCTCACCCTTACTATAAAGGGTTCCACTGAATCGTTTTGCCGTTTAAAAAAAAAAAAACTGAAATGATACATATTATGCACCGAATGGTCATTACAATACTAAATTTCAAACATAGAAAATTTCAACGCCTTGTGATCAACATCAACAAGGTAGCATGTTTTTCTCCGTCGGTTCGTCTTTGTTTGGCTTTCCTTCTGGGTTCATTATTAGAATCCTTTACTTAGATATCAGTAAAAAATAAGAAAACTACGTTAATAAATATGTTCATACCAATGCAGTTTTCGAGTTCTTAAGAAAACAATGCTTTCAAGTTTTAAGGCCAGCCCCAAGCTAAAACAATAGAACCCATAGATTCAGAACTTGTTAGCTCAAGGACCCACACAAAACACCCTCTCTACAAATAGGCATCGCCGGAGAATATGAAGATGGCCATCGTCAAAGCAGGCTTCGGTCACCGTTTTCAGGTCGCATGCAACACTCTCACCAGGTCGTCATCAAACCTACCACCACTTCTTATAATGCGTTAATTTCCAGCATTGGGGCTAGCAGGTGGTATAATGCTAGAGAGTCTGATATTTTAATTGCACCACTGGTGGACTTTGTTCATGATGAAACTCATTCTGTATCACTATATATACACCGAGATCATAAGTTGGCTAGATATCAGTTAAGCAAGAAGTGTTAATCAAGATCGATCCAGTCTTTCTCTTCTCTAGTCCTTAAGTTAAGTACACAGGTGGGATTGATCAGTCCACTCAAAAAAGATACAAATGAGAAAAGTCTTGCAAACGTTAATAAATACTATATCTAAACATTACTTCATGATTAGCATACAACATTGAGAAAAATTACTAATTAACATTGTTCTATTGATTACAGGTAGGTGAGGTTGGTGTTTCTTTAGGTTTTTGGTTCCGCATAATGTGGCAGGAAAGGGCAGCGCTCACATCACCCAAAACCAAAGATCTTGTGACCCTATATATTTTGCAGCTCTACAAGTTTAATGTTGAATGATTGATTTTCATGTAATATCAATGCAAAACCACTTGAAAGAATATATATATAAAATCATATCTTATTCAAGATAAACATAGATACACATGCCGTTCAAGAAAAAAGAAACATATGGGAAATCACAGAAGAGCATCTTCAATGAGCTTCAAAAACTCTTTGGAATTAATCTTCTCATCTTTATCAACATCATACCCATCAATCATTCGTCTACACTCACTTTCTGATATGCATGAACATCCAGATTTGGAAAGAACAAGTTGCAACTCATTTGCATCTATGAACCCATCATTGTTTGTATCGAACACACCAAATGCTTCCTTCAGTTCATCCAATGTTGGCTCGTTCTCATGGAATAAACTTGTTATCTCCTCCACGCTAGTAATTATTTTTATATCTTCATCATCGGACACCATACCCAATCTTTCCATAATTATCCCCACATCTACTTCTAACAACTTATCTTCAACAATTTCATCATGGCTAAAATGGATGGTATAGTGGAAGGCAACAGCTGGATTAATTACTGCAGAAATGATGGTATGCATAGTACAGAAAAACCACCGCGTGGGCCCCTCTAACAGGGAATACAAATCACGTAGTAGCATTACCCACTCTACAAAGTATTTGAATGATCGTAGACGGGTAAGCCACATATCCCTTGCGGTCATACCTGCTACTGTTGATGAAAGAGACGATGTTATCCCGATCTTATGATCTTTCATAAGATGATAATTGGAAACACAGATAGAGATATTCATATTTAATTTGTCTTTGGGAATCGATGACCGGTGCTATATATATGGAGAAAATTATTGTGAAAACATTCTACACATTAAAGGATATATATTAAGAAGAATAAGCTCACTGCATTTGGATAAGAAATTATTCCAAGCACTTGAAGGACAAGACTTGTTTTCTTAGTTTTTAAATGGGAAGTCACTAATTAGTTCTCTTGGCAATTTCTACGAAGAACCTAAAAAATACGACGAATTAAGTTGATGAATTCAAGACCAAAGACGATGAATCCGAGGCATAGAAGATAGTCCAAGTGAGAGTTATGTTGTCTCACTTGTTGCAACTTCAATTATAATAATAATTGCAACCGTACGAAATTTAACACTCCAACGATAGATACACAGGAAAACTGCTGAACCAGAAAAAACATAGAATATAGTTGCAATATTTTTCGAGAACTTGTTGTTGAATATTTTGAAAACGCGCTTAAATTTTCCGGGTTGAGATTCGCTTGCAACACCGTGTTTAAAATTTAAAGATCGGTGAGTGCTATTTTTCGCCGACGAGCTTTCTCCGTTGATTTAATTTTTTTTTTCTAAAAACTTAGTTTTGTTTATTTTCTCCGCTAGTACATCCTTGTTGGTTGATTTTCCGCTTGAATACGCTCACTTTCTCTCTTTGTCCCTCCCAGTGGTCGACGAAGTTGGACGTCCGGTAGACCCTCTCCCTCGGTGGCATTGAACTCATCATTGAGGTCGAGGCTAACACTAATGTCCGTCTCAGAAGTGTTTGCCTTTTTGTTGGAGGTAGATCCCTAATACTCCGTATCACGATAAAGAACCTATTTTGTTACGACAAACTTCCCACATTTTTTGGTTGCTGAATGGTTTACCATTGTTGGTAATTTTGTATTGGTGCAATGTCGTATCAGGATAAAGAACCTATTTTGTTACGATAAACTTCCTACACTTTTTGGTTGCTGAATGCTTTACCATTGTTGGTAATTTTGTATTGGTACAATGCGGTTGTTAAAATATTGAAATCGTTGCTATCACTTTTATGCATATTTTTAAGGTTGTCAAATACGTCGTTAAATTTGGTGCAAGCCACTCAAAGGTCACGCCATTTTGCACTGACCGCCTCGTATGTCCGGTTCGTTTTTCTTCCTAATAACGCGTGGAAGTGGTCTAAAACATGATTCCAAAAACTTTGACCGGTTTGCGCGTTGTACACATCCCCGTCTTGTGATATGAAAATCCAAGCTTTAGCTAAAGCTTCATTCTCCTCTTCAGTCCATTGTGCAATTTTTCTGGATCGTTTGATTTTTTTGCCTTTTATGATCTGGTTAACCTATTCGTCGCCGTCGTCATTGTCAAGATATAAGTTGGGATTGAGATAATGGAACTTGAGATGGTTGTGCGTGAAATTATTGATGTTGGGAAGTATATTGACGTTGGGAAGTTTGAGGTTGAAATTACAGAGAATGTTGTTGAAAGGCTTGAAATTGAGATTGATTGAATTGTGGGGGTTGTTTTTGTTGGTAGTAGTGTGGGTGGTATGAAAGATTGTTGAATATATGTTGTTGTTGGATTGGAGATGTTATCAATTGCATGTAATTAAGATTTGCTAATGGATCATTTGGAGTGTTTGGAATAGGTGAAGTATTTTGATTTGGATCCATAGGTAGAAGATAAAAAAATATATGACAAGAGAGTGTTTTTTGTAGTGTAACATATTATAAAAATATGGGGTATTTATAGTTATAGTTGATAGGTTTTTAAATTGAAAAAAGAAATTTCTTTAAGGTGTGCGCAACAGATACAAATTGGTCAAAATGACTGTTTCCAACTTCCACCTTCTCCCATTGGATGTCTCCTTCCGTCTTTGGAATCACACCACATAGGCCTAGCAATCGTGTTGTGTTCGGGTTGGCGTGTCGCGGGTTGGCGGGTCAAAATATGCCAACCCAAACACGACCCATTTAAATATACAGGTCACGGGTTAGCGGGTCACGGGTTGGCGGGTTTGGAACATAAACCCATATATGACCCGCCAACCCATTTATTTATACGGGTTCACAGGTTGGCGGGTTCGTGGGTCAGATTTGGGTTAGTGGGTCCAAATTTAGACATTTAAGTCTTAAACATCCAAATGAAAATTAAAAACATTTACAGAAACATATTACAAACTTAGCCTTAGAGGTTACGACTTAGAACCTTAGACCATCCACCACAAGTCAAAATTTCAAAATAGTCAGATAGTCTATGAATCAATGGTATATATTATATATTACTTATTAAATATTAATACTTGATATATAAATACATTTAAAAATAAAATAATTTTTTTATTGAAAATATAAACGGGTTGGCGTGTCAACTCGTTTATTTTTTGAAAAACCCATATATGACCCGTTTAATAAACGGGTTGGCGGGTTGGCGGGTTGAAAAACTCAACCCAAACCCATTTATTTCGTGTCGTGTCGCGGGTCGTGTCGAGAATTGCCAGCCTTAACAACACAACCAGAGCACCGACCTTAAGGACGATGTTCATGCATCTCCAAGGGTTCCAACTTAGCATCACACGTGGGTTTGTATACCCACTCCGGGAAGCCTCAAGGGTGCCACATCCAGGCACAACCAATCTATTAATATTTGATGAGTTCTAATTTGTTGGGATTTTATGCGACACAAACATTCACTCTCCCAGGTGAAAAACCGTCAAAGGAAAAAAGCGGAAATTATTGGATTCATCAATCAAAAAATGCCAATAAAATCAACTACACAATTATTAGAGTTTAAGGAGTTCAACATATGATTTAACACACATAGTAATAATGCAAAAACAAAAAAAAATTAAGAACACAATATTTATTATAGTTTATACAATTAGAATGATCGACTATGTAAAAGGATCTTCTTCAATTTTAAGGTACCATCATCACTTATCAATTCCATGATAATGTGGTACCTCATGGATGTGTTTCATATTACCGTGAAACACCGAATTCTTTGGCGAATATACTGCATTATAGTTTTTCATAATATATTACACAATCTTCCTTCTAGATCCCAAGTTCTGATAGAAAGTTCTTCAACCATATAATCTTCTTGCTTGTTTTTGCAATCACCATATACTCTGCTTATATAGTTGAAAGATAAACCCTTTTTCGTAACTTGGATATCCAACTGTTTGCTTTTCCTCTGATTGTGAACACATAATTGGTTGAAGAAGTTCCCTTGTTTTTTGATGATATTTGAGTTAACTTTTCGCCTAGATAGATCCAAATGTTGTTAGGAAAGCTTTCGAGTTGACTTGTCGCTTGAATAGTGTTCACCTAGACATAATCGATGCTATCGGACGAGAGCAATTTGAACGGAGGAGTTAGGGAAACCTTTAACTTAGGGCAACGAAAGTATATTCAGGTGATAAGTCGCATTCATAAGTAGCAGCAAAATGAAGACACTTTGCATATTTAATATAAATATAGAAAAATAAAATATATATTTGTAACGCCCGGGTTTTCAGGGCTAAGCATTTTTGTCAATGTAATAGTCTAGGTCAACTATTGTAACTCTTTTTGAAGTAATAAATATGAAATATTTGAGTATTATGTGAATTATGTGTGTTTATGTGTTTATTATTTAATTATAAATGTATAATTAATAAAGAATAAAAATGAGCGTCAAAATTAAAGTGTGAGATAATCCCGATATCTCTACATAAAGTTGTAGAATATGTCTCAAGGTTTCCGTGCATATAAAGAATGCCGAAATCCGAGCTATAAAGAAGAAGTTATGGCCCGCCGAAGTTTTACGACAAAACCGGCACGACACCGGGAAACGTAAATAGTGAATTTACGATAGAAGACTTTTTAGCCTTAGCAATCTAAACAAAAGTCGTAGAATATGTTAAACTAAGAACATCGATAAAAAGAACGCCCAAATCTGACTTCGTATGAAGAAGTTATGATTTTTCTAAGATTCGGCTTAGCAGTGCACGGCCTGAAACTCGAATTTTAGTTCGAGCGGTTTTTGGCTTACGCAACGTAAATGAGAGTTGAAGATCTCATTAATAGGAAATCAACGGTAAAAAGACAGACAAAAACAGAGTCCGTATGTAGAAGTTATTAATTTTACGCAGACGTTTAACAGTATAATCTCCTTGTACTGTTAAATTTAAGATCGGTCGAGAATTAGCTGACGGTGTCAAAATGAAAGTTGTAGATCTTATTATTACCTACGCGTGGATATAAAGAACGTCAAAAACGGAGGTCGTATGTGAAAGTTACGGATTTTAGAAGTCGGAAGTGTGCTGTGCGAAAATGGGTGATGTGGCACAATCTTGGCCATTGCTTTCTCCCCAAGGCTTGCCACCAGATGGTGACATGTGGCACCAAGTTCAGCCACATTTCACCCTATAAATACCACCTCTCCCACCCTCATTTTCTTCACACCTTTCCCATTCTTTCTTCTCTTTACTCTCTCTCTCTCTCTCTCTCTAGAACCTCTCTCTAGCCCCGAAATCCCCCGAAAAGCCTAGGGAACCTCCCTAGCACGAGGCGGAAGCCCCGGAGTGCTCGAAGGCTCCGAGAAGAAGAGCTTTTCGGCTCGGGAACGCTGCTCCAAGCAAAGCCCGGTTTTCTATAAAACCCGCTGTAAGTGAGCTACGCCTACGCTATTTTTAATATAACTTTTATTTAATTATAGTAACGTTATTAGGAACTTATAATAAATACTTGGGCTATTATTATGGGTTATATAAGTATTTTTTTGACGCTTATATAATAATAATAATAGCTAGACTATTAATTAGTCTCGACGAATAATAAACTAAACTCTAGTGGTAATAATACTAGGTTTCGTCGAAGAAAAATTCTTTTTAAGAAGCGAAGCGCTGTCTGAGTTCGGAATCACCACCTTTTCCGGTGAGTGCATAGTTACCTTCAACTTACACATAGATATGAAGTATTTTATATAAATTACGT